CCAAAGGCTGTTCCTAGCAAGCTGTGGTCTCATTAATGCAAAATACAACGGAACTTTTACCTTTCTAAGATGGAATACCACACGCTATTTGTGCAACTTAAGATCACATTCGCTTTTTTTTTTTTTTTTTTTTTTTTTTTTTTTTTTGGCAGCTTCACAGACCCTGTTGACACTGAAATGTTCTAGTCTTTTTTACATGAGCTGCCAATCCAGTGTTCCTCCAGCCTGTACTTTTGTAGCTGATTTTTTTAAGGGTAACCTTTTGCCTTTATCCCTATTACATTTCATCCTAAATGAAAAGAATTGGTCTAGCTTGAAATCACTGTGAATTTGGACTTTCATCTCATGTTTAGGGTATTCCTTTTAGATGTGTGTTTTGTGCAGAATTGATAAATATAGTTCATCAGACACAGGTTTTATTTTTATTCCAAAGATGAGACCAACTAAGAGTGCGCTTCATCCCTAGGATGCTACCTCCAGATTTATCGTGAAAATTAACCAACCATCTTTGTTGTAGCATTTAACTATTAAAAATAGCTCTCTGGCCATTCACCCTGTGTCATTTGAGGGGAGCTGTCAGCTTTGACTACCTCATGGTTTTGAAGAATCCCATGTTTAAAATTCCATCTATAAAAATGAATTTAAAAAAGAAGACACAACCTAACTAAAAGGCATCATCAAAACCATTATAGTGAAGAAATTCACTAACAAAAGGAAGAATGAAGAGGAATAAAACACACATTAAGTACTTTCCTGGTAGTCACCAAGTGAATATCTTGGCACTGTGAATGAAAGTATTTATCAACTGAAATGAAGGAAGGGTTGGTATTGTATAGGGGAAGCAAAATCAAAATAGAATTCTTACCCTGTGGACTCACAGGTACTTGTTTTTACAAATAATAAAAGCCCTGGATCAGAAAGCTTTTCCATCAACAATGAAAGTCTGAATATAATATGACTTGGATAATAATGTATGCATCTGTTGACCTAAACATTAACAGAATTGAACATAATTGTCTCTCTCGTGGTTGTCATGCTCTTTAGAACAAAGCACTTAGTTTACATTGTGTCCTCTATTATAGAAAACAATGTAGAACATATATTTATTTTATTTTATTTTATTTTATTTTATTTTATTTTATTTTATTTTGTTTTATTTTAGGGGGGTTAAACACTTGGTAAATATACACATTTCAAACATCATTCTTCTGGAGTTCTGAATTTATCATTCTCTGCAGGTTGAACCAAGAGCAAGCAGCAAAGTTTAGGTGTGTTGTTGGTCATGTTTATTGTTGGTATTTAATTATATCCAAATCCAGACATCAATTCACATCTTGAGCCCTAATTGCCTTTGAGAGTTCTATGCACAGAACAATAGCTGGAGTGACTCTTCAGAACAGAAGTCGTAAATACAGGTTCTTCCTCATCTTGATGAATTAAAACCCAAGGAGGGGAGACAGTTTTGTTTTGAAGAAGCCATCTGTTTATTTGTGTACAGCGTTTGTATTCAGATTTAAGGAAATTAATCAAGTGAAAAGCATCAGAATTCACAACATAGAAAGCAAGAGTACTGAACAAGCATACAATTTCAGAAAACCAACTAGATAATGAGGTTTCAACCTCGTTAGTTTAATTTTCTCTAGTCCCAAGGAGACCTCTCTGGTGTGTATATACTGCATGGCTTGCTTTGCATTGATTCTTGCTGCTTGAGGGCTCAGAACATGAATCGGTGACAAGTGTTAAGTTAATGAATTAGCAGCTGTCAGCCCAGACTGTACCAGCATAATCCTTGATTTAGGGAACTTTTCTAGTCCTTGGTTAACAGGCCACTGAGTTCACTGATAATAAAATCTGTCCCCAATCCATACATGTGCATAAAGGGATGAACATTTCTTCAGGAAACAAATGTCAATTAAAAGTGTGAGCCAGAATTGCATATGACTCTAGGCTTTGGAACATGTGCCAACTCCTTGTTGCTCACCCAGAAGTTGTCAGAAGTAGGGAGCGAAGACATTTTTATGGTCTTGAGCCTGGACATTTGACTCTGCTGTCAGAAGTCTGGTGTGTAAGCTTAGAGCTGGAGCCAGCATTTTAGGCATAAAGTCATTGCTGTTTTTTATACTTTGTTAAGGTAGTAACTTCATTACTCTTGCAATAAAGCCCTCTGAAACTGTCTTCACCCCACATCCTTCTCAGAATTTCTTCTGCATTTAATTCAGTTCACTATTGAATTAAGCAAGAGTACAAATTGCTGTATTATGCCCTTAGACTTGTTCTCTGGATGATTCGTGAATGGATATCATGTTTTCACCTAAATGAAAGGAGGCAGCTTAGCACAGTAGATAGTTCCTTAACTGCTATTAGGCATCAGTTTCCCTCATCCGTTAAGTAGAGATGATAATAGTACCTATTTCTTAAGAATAAATGAAATAATCCATGTAAAGTGTTAATACAGTGTCTGGAATGTAAGTGGCTCACTTCATTATTATGAATGCTTTTATTCCCTCATTCTTTTTTATATCTCTTTTGGTACCAAGACATGGTTATACCTACAATACACACTACACAATTGGTGGATGATAAATCAACAAATGAATGAAGGTTCATTAAGATAAGAACCTAAATTGTGAAATCAGTAGACAGCTAGTTAAAGGAAAATTAGGCAAAAGCTTGCCGAATAAAAACCATACACACCTATGATTTTAACCAGGAATCACTCATTCCAGTTTCCATTTTATAGATGAGGAAATTTTAAATTTAAAAGTGAGAATTATTCTAAGATGTTTTGCTCTCAATTCGTTCCCTCATTTAAAAATCTCAGTCTGGGGCGCCTGGGTGGCGCAGTCGGTTAAGCGTCCAACTTCAGCCAGGTCACGATCTCGCGGTCCGCGAGCCCCGCGTCAGGCTCTGGGCTGATGGCTCAGAGCCTGGAGCCTGTTTCTGATTCTGTGTCTTCCTCTCTCTCTGCCCCTCCCCCGTTCATGCTCTGTCTCTCTCTGTCCCAAAAAATAAATAAACGTTGAAAAAAAAAAAAATTAAAAATCTCAGTCTGTATCTATAGCTGCAGGTCAGTTAATCAATAGAGCAAATTTTGATTATGTAACTTGTAAAGCCTCAGATTTTAAAATAAAGGATTTTACCTCCCATTACCTCTTATCTGACAATGCCTGTTTGTACCTGCTCATTTCGTGGACATCACTCATACAGCAATGAACGAAAACACACCAATCTATTTATGATCTTGTCCTATTTTTGGAAAACAGCAAAAGGATATCTCAACCCGAGATAATAATCTGTTTATGGACACAGACTTTCCTTTTCTAATGACTTGAGATGTTTGCTTTCCATGGTTGGATAAGAAGAGGGCAGAAAAACTCTTTTAAATACTCTCTTTAAAGAAATTTAGTATGTGTTGTTAGAAAGTAAGGCCCATCAAACGTGTTCTATGAGATATCATTTCAAAATTTCCAGCTGAGATTTTAGTTGGGGAGGTACACTTAATTAATATTTATATACCCCACAGCCTGAAATACAATCCTGTGAGTATTGAATGGTATTAATATTTTTTCATTGTTTTGTTTGCTTTTGATTTGTCTTCTTTTTTAAAAAAATTTTTTTTCCATGTGTATTTATTTTTGAGAGAGAGAGAGAGAGAGAGAGAGAGATTGCGAGTGGGGAAGGGGCAGAAAGAGAGAGGGAGACAGAGTCTGAAGCAGGCTCCAGGCTCTGAGCTGTCAGCACAGAGCCCAACGTGGGGCTCAAACCCACAGACCATGAGATCATGACCAGAGCAGAAGTTGAATGCTTAACCAACAGCCATCAAGGTGCTTCTGATTTGTCTTCTTTATTATGGTTTGTTTGGCTGATTTTGTCTGATTTGGTTTAGAGCGGAGAAATTTCTGGAATATGGCTGAATTCACAATTTCATTCTTTAGGTACTTATGTGACCTTTACGTTTAATTCAAGTCGCTTTCCACCATTTTACTCTCTGACAACATTTATGAAATAATGTTGCAGTGGAAAAATAAAAGATCATTGGCATGTGAATGTAGTATTGGGGTTTATAAACTGTCTCAGCTACACAAGCCCATTTCATTTTCAATTAAAATCATAATGTAAAGGGTAAATTTAGAAGTGAATTTGTTCTTATTTTAAAGATGTAATCTACATATACAAATATATATAATTTTGTCAATGAGTTCATTACAGAATTTTTATGTTACATTTATAATAAAAGTTGCTAAACTGTCTTAGTTTCAAATAGGCTGAGACTATAAACTTAATAGTACATGATGCAGATTATAAAAATATGTGGATACAGAAATCTATATCATAGTAAGCAGAGGAAAAAAGATAAATCATATGTGTATCGTGTTTATAATAATGCAAAACAAAACAACTAAAAAACTATAAATCAAGAAGACAGAGGAAAATAATATCGAAATGAAAATAGAGGTTTTATCTGGACAGTAAAATAGTAAGTAGGATTTGTTTGGTTTGGTTTTGTTGGTCCCTTCTTTTAACTTTCTTGAATTTCCTAAATTTCCCATACTAAGCATTTATCACTTTTATAATAGGGAGAAAAAAAGCCAAACAAACTTGAAATTAACATGGCTTTTCCCTGTTTGTACTCAACTGAATTACTGCTTTCTAGTGACACTGGGGAGATATGAAAACCTTTTTAAAGAGGCAATTTCTGAGCAGGACTGCCAGAAGTGGGCCCTTCCGTGAGTGTCTTCTGAGATCTAACCTCAGTGCTCCCCAGCTGAGTTTTGTTGCTCTGTGAAGGTTCTCATAATGAGTGTTTTCATCTTTTCATATTAAAAATGACCTCCTGGCCGGAGTCTCAGCTTCCCAGATGACTGAGGTTTGCTGGTCACAGCCTAAGAAAAAATAAAGCAAAACTACTTAGTGTTTTATCCTGCTCTTGGATCCTGCATTTTATTTCCACACAAGCTCTCAGGCTTTGTTATTTGTTTGCCCTTGTTTTCACCCTCCAGATCCAACAAGGGTGATGGTCCCCCCTTCCAGTATGGATGTCACTGTTGGAGAAAGTATTGTTCTGCCATGCCAGGTAACACATGATCACTCGCTGGACATCGTCTTTACTTGGTCATTTAATGGACACCTGATAGACTTTGACAAAGATGGGGACCACTTTGAGAGAGTCGGAGGGGTAAGTATTAATATCAGACTATCTACGGGAAATTCAGTATGCAACTGAACTTCTCAAAAGTGACTCAACTTGTTTAGACTAACATGAAAAGAAATGTATGGTTATTCTGTGATCATTTTGTTCAAGCACCTTATTTTAAGAAATTCTTGGTTAATTCCTGCTCCGTTTTGCCTGATCAACATGGCTCCACTTACTTAGTGGAGCCTATATGGCAGTCCTCGTAACCCTCACAGCAATGCTATAGGCTAGTTATTCCATGCTATGTATGAACGAGCAAACTGAAGCTCAGGGGAATTGTATGGCTTGCCTTGGCCTCAAAGCCCTAAATTGCAGAACTCAGCTTTAAGGTTCAAAACCCAGGCTCTGTGCCCCATACAGTACCATATATCATGGCACCTGGTTAAGAAAAATATCTTAAGAATACTTTACTCATGTGTTTTTAGGCAGCTGATTAAACTCCCCTTGAAGCCACATCACTGCGACATTAGGGCTCTCTTTCTTGAATCTGAAAGTCTGATCAGAGTATTTATTATCCAGGTAATTTTGAATTCAAACGTTTGAATTTTCAAAAGCCTTACTTCCCATAAAAATACATACTACCATTGAACACATGCCAAGATGAGGTTAAATCTGGAAACAATTTGTATTTATCACACTTGTTCTCAAAAAATTTTGGGGGGGGCTACCACAGTCCTACATGCTCACTAGTAATGAAGATTCACTCTGACTGCCATTCTTATGGAGGGTCCAACCATAAAGCAGTGGAAAATAAGAATGAGGCTATGATCCGAAAAGCCTTCCCCAGCCCCTGCCATAGGAATCCAATGTGCCCGCTTCATTTTGCCTCACCTCCCCCTTATGTTGAGAATAAGTGGGCTAGTTTATAAAATTATCCAGATGATAGGTTGAGGATCTGCTTTCCACTCGACCATATATATTACTACTCATGTTAATTACTTGACTTACATTCTTGCTGCCTTTTCAAATGATGTCTCTCACAGAACACCAAGAGTTATTTGAGCATTTTGTCCATTTTCCCAGATATCATATACAACTGGTACTATTTTGGATACGTAGGAGAGAAGTTAGATTATTCTATCTGTGGATGCCTTGGGTCATTAGGGATTCCCTCTTGGAACCCTGGTTGAGAAAGGCTGTATGAAATTGCCAATATTAAGCATTATGGACTTCTTTGATATGATGCAGCTTGGAAACCAAGTGGGAGAAATATTAATTTCACAAGGGCATTGAAGATATTAAATACCTTCGGGTCTAGAAAAGTTCATAGCCCAATGCCTACCACAAAAGAAGTATTTGATACATTTAAATAGTTGTACTAATTGAAGGAAGAGTAACATTGATGTTAATAACAGGAAACTATAAATTGAGAAAACTTTTCATAGATTAAGCAGAATATTCATTTTCATACTAAGACCAATGTCTTGGGCAGGAGAGATGCTAAAAATATTATCTCCCAGAACAGCACAGGCACCAACCAATTAGAACAGCTGCCTGACTCATTGAAATAAATGCCCTGCCAGTCAGACACATGAGGACTTTATGCTGGACTGGCTGTTGATCAGCCAGGGCTGAGGCACAGGTGGAGACAACCCTAATGGAGTCAAGCTCTAATGACCACCTTCCGTAGAGAGCTCTATCTGTGGAATCACTCTCGTTAGCCTTTCCTGTGGGAAATGCTTGTCTGTTCTGTGAAACTCTGCTAACACCAATCAGTTATTGCTAATAAGTGCAAGATTCAGGACAGCACTACAAATTGTGAGAAATAAGTATATTAGCTACCAGGATCGTTCATGTCTGTAGAGGTAGGACTTGTCAATAGAAAAGGTAAGGAAGCAATTCTGAAGTCAAGCCATTTTGCAGTTTCTGCTTCCTGGGTCAGCATAGTGGAGGTTATGCTTGGGAGAGCCAGCCTATAGCAGTTTTTGGAAAAGCTGTTATTCCATTGTCCTTTGACAGCCTCCAAGTGCTCTGTCAGAAACAGAACAGACCACAGCAAACAGGGGAAAATAACCTGGTGCTGTTTTGTTCATTGTGGTGGGAACATGAATGTAGATCTCATTGAACTGTTTGATCTGGGTGACTTCAAAGGAAAAGAGAAAGTTATTGTGGTCTCCTTGTGTGAGACTCTTTCCTCAATCCTGACTTTATTTTTTGTCTTTGTTTCAGTTTTACTTTAAAAACACAACTCTGGTCAAAATCTGTAAACAAAGACAGCACATTCTGTTAATACTTTGCTGTACTCTGAAATTTCCAGGCTATAGCTAGTCTCCTCGGCCCTTAAGCCCTTGGTGAATAAAATGGATTATTGGCACAGTGTATACATTTCCTTAAAACAAATACAGCTTTCTGTCTTCCCTGCACGTGCCCCCTCGTGAGGCATATTTTCTGTTGAAACCTATACTCAAGAGTCCTAACACAGGAATGTCTTGGGTAAAGAAGTACCAATAATGGTGGCGATGATGGCTTTTGTTTGCAAAGTGCCTGCTGATTTATCAAGCACTTTCATGTATATAGGCTCTTTAATCCTCACAGAAAACCTGTGAGATAGGGTAACAATTATTATCCTGTTTTACTGAGCAGTTATAAAACTTGATTAGTAAATACAATCTGAATGAGAACCCAAGTGTTAAAAATAAACAGATTTCAGGTAAAAAAAAAAAAAATCACAGTTCTTCTTGAATTAGATTTAATACCTTTGACATGATCGCTCATGGTCATCAGTAATACCAATTTGCACTCTGTGCTTCACAGTTTTTAGGATTTCACGTACATGTACAGTCTCGTTTGATTCTCACAACCTCACCTAGTCAGTGAGCTAATACCCAGAGACTTTCATGAAATCACAGCCCAAGATAGCTGAGGACCAACCATCAACTTTCCCTTCACTGAATGCTCGAGCCTCTCTTCTCAACCTATTTACAACTATTGGCAGTTCCAGGTCTTCCATTGTCCTGGGTAAATTTGGGATGTGTTGCTCTAAAACAAAGGGAATTAAGTACACCTTATTTAGAATGAGAATAAGGTCTTTCTGGATGGTAGAGTGGCCTGACCTTATGGGTTCACATCCCAGCTGTGCCATTTACTACCTGGTGACCTTAGGTAAGTCATAGAACCTCTTTGTGCTTGAGTTTCTTCATCTGTAAAGTAAGGATAACAAGAGCACTGACCTCGTAGAACATGTGAGTATTCAGCTTTAATATATGGTTCCCATATTCTAATACTATTAAGCATTATCCAACATTATTGTCATTTGGAAGAACAGCAACAGGGCCAAAATAACCTATGTTATCTTGTTATCCATTGGGAGGTTAGAAGTAAGCATAGCTTCCTGAATCTGGCCTGTAGAGAGCACTTATATGCAAGCCACCTGTTCTCCAAGCTTTTGAATAACCACCCTCCAAGGTGTAGCCATGTTCTTTGGTTAAAATGCCACCTTTGCGATAACCTGCAGAGACATCTTGTCATATTTATTAAAAGTACCATGCTGGTGGATGAGTAGAAATATTTCTGTGGCACACAGACATCCATACTGGGATGTAATCAGTCCTATTCATCTGCTAATCAAACTTGCATTTGGCATTTGAAAAACAAATTAGCAGCATTCCACACTAGGTGATGCTAGATTTCCTTAGAGAGTCTGGTCCTCATAATCTTTTAATTCAAATCTGGGAGCAATCAAAATGCTGGCTATGAGACAGAGTTGTGCAGTAAAATGCAGATGCCTCCAAATGTGGGCTTGCCTCCCCTTTCTAAATATAGAGTTCCAAAGTATTGGAATGCTAGTGAAGGCTTCAGGCTCAGCGCATATCTGAAGCAACCCACAGGACTAAATCGAGAGCCACCGTAAGTAGTTTAAGTGCTTCCAACATGGGTGCAAACTGCTCCAGAGACCCAGAGAAGCCACATACCTGAGGTCTTGTCTAAGGTGTGTCCTGAAAATGTTGGCGTTTTTATCTCTCAAGCAGGCTCACATATTCTTAATAGGCTATGGCTTGCATCACTAATGTTTTCATCAGCCAGTGTAAAATAAATCCATTAGTCACAGTGTCCTTCATGTGATAATGATATTTAGAGCTCATTAAAAAGTAATTGTAGCCACTTTCCCCTACTTTATCAGCAGGATTCAGCTGGTGATTTGATGATCCGAAACATCCAGCTGAAGCATGCTGGGAAATACGTCTGCATGGTCCAAACAAGTGTAGACAGACTGTCTGCTGCTGCAGACCTGATTGTCAGAGGTATGTGGAATTCTGGTTTCTGTTCTTGAAACGCTTTTATGATATCTACCGCTGCACAGATTTCTAAAAACCTCACCACTTGAGAATTATGGAAGAAAGTCAGGTAGAAGCTGAACATTGTAAACAGTAGTTAACAGCCTACAGAAGTTCTGTGCGGATCTCTTTTTCATAGGGGTATCACCAGAAAGTGCAGAGCAAATCCGGTTACTCCATACTGAAAATAACTCCTGTGAGTGCCCCGAGTGCCCCGATTTATGGCTGTTGGAGTTGATATGACCTTCTAGAATAATTTTGGATTAACAAAAGCAAATAGTTTAAAGAAGGATCAAACTGTGCCTTTTGATGTTTCATACGGGCTAAGCCAAATTAGTGATTTAGGGCACTGATATAACAGTGGCTTCAGAAAAATCACCACATTTTCTCAGTTCCCTTTTTTCCCTAAAGTTAATAGTTCTATACAGTTCTTAAAATATGCCTTTAGAGGAACTGCCCAGGATATAGTAAATAAGCTGGAGGCCGATGACAAATGACAAAATGACATTTGTGAGATTTTCTTGAGCACAATCAGCATGGCCTAAGTTCAACCTAATGGCTACACAGGCCCTGCCTGAGCCCCAAGAAACCAGTTTATAAAGGAACAGAAGTAAATGGAGTTTTAAGAAATATTTTTTTAAGTTTATATATTTTGAGAGAGAGAGAGTGCGCACACGTGTGCGCACAGAGGAGAGACAGAGACAGAGGGATAGAGAGAATCCCAAGCAGGTTCTGCGCTGGCAGCACAGAGCCCGACATAGGGCTCCATCCCACAAACTGTGAGATCATGACCTGAGCTGAAATCAAGAGTCAGACATTCAACCAACGAACCACCTAAGTGCCCCAGAAATATTTTTATATTGAAATTAAAATCTTTGGGAAGCAGGATACGTACCAGAATCAAACCGATGCATGCACAAGGCTTTTCTAAAGTATTAAAAGTGCCTTTTGATGTTTCATCTGGGCTAAGTCAAATTAGTGATTTAGGGCACTGATATAACAGTGGCTTCAGAAAAAGTATTGAAAGTAAAGCCAAATCAGAACATCAAAATACTCTCTTGTCTAGCACCTCCTTCATCTGAACCCTAACTATTGGTGTTTAGGAATCTCTAGCCAGCAGAGTTTTGAGTGCAAGCATACAAAACTCCAGGGGAAATTAGTTGTGGAGGCAGGGTGAATCCGAGTGCAGGGTGAACAAGGTATTGTGGGAAGCAACTGAAGTGTTGCTGTGCCCTCTAGGCATAACCTGAGTGGGGGAGATGTGTGGGAGTTAGCTACTTAAACTCATTGTCAAGAGAGGTTAAAGAAAAATAGCTTTTCCATCCTGTCTGCTTTAGTTCCTCTTTAAATTGCCTACAAAAACCTTTCTGTAGGTAATGGTACAGATAAGAGTCAGATAAGAGAAAAAAAACTTGCAACCTGGGTTGAGCTGCCCATTGAATAACTTATAGAAACGTGTTTATTTCCACTTTAAAATACATGAGAGCTGATTTGCTCTACCCCTGGGGACAAAAGAATTCTGTTGCTGAAAATTTATCCTCTATTTAATTAGGATAATGTTCAGATCAGCAGTTTAAACACCAATAAATTAGACTAATAAATATTTAAATCAGTAATACTTGAAGTTCTTAAATGATATTGTATACTTCATTTCACAGAAAATAACATTAAATACCAAGAGGAATTTGCAAACTCAGTCTAAAAGAAAATCTAGTCTAATCAGTTAATAAGGCCAATAAATTAATATGCCATTTTAAACCATAATCTTTCCTTTTATTTCCTTTAGCTCTGCTCTTGCAGCTTTTCTGCATATTACAGAAAGGATGCAGAAATGCATTCCACTGCCCTGTAAGAGATTTGTGTATCTGAAACTGGTAAAGCTTTGAGTCTCGGCTCTAGCTTCCTTGATTCTCGGATACCTGCTTTATTTAGTCTGTTGCACTAAGACAGGTGGAAAGGTCATTCATCCCTGGGAGAGCAGCAGAATCACTGTTCTCACACCAACATTCCCTCTTCTGTTGCCTGTGACAGAAACATCTGTGGGCCCCTGGCCATGTGAACATTTTGTTCAGAGGATAAACATTTGCTCATTTTGTCATTTTGAAAGAGTGACCCAACTTCCCCAAGACAAAGTTGGTAAACATTCTGTGAGGTCATATCTCCACACTGGTCAGGAGCACACAGCGTCAACAAAGCTTGAAAGTACCATCTCATCTCCAATGGCCAAGTTCATACACCCTTTCATTTCCTTTATTTGGTTGACAGCAATGGGCTCAGATAATTCCTATCAATTTAATTTATTGAGGAGTTTGGAGGGGAACACTTTTGTGCTTGTGTACTTTGATTTTAAAGGCTCTGAAAAGAGCACCGATTGAAATGGGGGTGGGGCATAGATCTAGGATAAGAAAGCTAGTGGGAAACAAGAAGATGGTACTGTCTTCTGGACTTTATCTGGTTAAGACCAAAGTTTGCCTCCGCTCTATCCAGGTGGCATTAGACTGACATGTTCAAATGTCACCATGGAAAATTAATCAGTTTCAGCATACAGATTTCCAGACCTTTCATTCAGGAGTAGGAGGGAGAAGCTAAATTTAGTCTCACCTGTAGGTCTATAAAAATGATTTTTAAAAAAAGAAAGAGAAAGTTAGGACATCATAGGAAGGGTACAAGAGTGAATCTCAGAACAAAGTCTTACTTCAGGAAATTACATTGAACTTTTCAGCACTCTGCTAGACGTCTCTTTCTTCCCTGCCTGGTGACCTGGCCCAGTCATATTTAGCAGTACACTTGAAAGCTCTATGGGGCTGAACAAAGCCCTCCTAGGAATATCTCCTTAATCCCTCCTTAGGGACATGAGATTTGTCATCCTGTCTCCCTCACAATCACCTCCCTTCCTGAGGTGGTCACTTGTGCCTTGCCACAGATACATTTAACTGCCTACTAAGAGCTTTTCTGTTGGAATCTAGGACAGCTCCGGGTCTTTGCTTGGGCTGTGTTGATATTTTGTTTTTGCCTACTGCTTTCCATCCCTCTACTTATTTATGATTTCCAAGCCTTCTTTTAAAACTGATTTCCTCTTGCCTCCATGGTTTAAGTACATGGGCAGAAACAATGAACATCAGGAAGATAAGTGGAAAAATAGAGATATGACTTACGGAAACTGCAAATGAGAGAGAGTCTTTAGATTCCAGCCCCGTCCTGAAGTTCCAATGAAAAAGCCACAGTCTGGTGACTCTTTTGAGCACTGGTCATTTTCACAGCAGCTCCCTTGCATACAAGCGTGTGTTTGCATATGATGCGGGACAGCAGCGGGGTTAGTAATTACAGTGCAGCAGGAATGGGAATGTAGGAGCAGTGCTGCGACCACCAACATTCTAAAGCCCTCTCTGCTCACATCCGCAGCCTCAGTGGTAGAAATGACCATTTCCAAAAGACTCTTATCTTCATTTATCACTACTCTATCCACAGATAACACTGCCTGACCCATACCAGAAACCTGTAAACATATGATAGATGAATTAAGGAATTTGGACTTCTGTGGTATCCCAGTATTCTCTCCTAGCATTTGGAACAGATACTCTATTTTAATTCTTTGTTTACCTATTTTTTTTTATTATACAGTGAGCCCCTAGAAAGAAGGGGCCATGTCAGTGCGCCTGGGTGACTCAGTGGGTTAAACATCTGACTCTTGGTTTCAGCTCCAGTCATGATCTCACATTTCATGGGTTCAAGCCCCGCATTAGGCTTTGTGCTGACAGTGCAGAGCCTGCTTGGAATTCTCTGTCTCCCTCTCTCTGCCCCTTCCCCCCATGTCTCTCTCTCTCTCTCTCTCCCTCCCTCAAAATAAATAAACTTAAAAAAAATGAAAGAAAGAAAGAAGGGGCCATGTCTCGTTCATCTCTGTAGTTACAGAGCCAGAAGAATTCTGGACACCCAAAGAGGTATTCAAAAGGGAACTGACAAGTGATAAATCTGTGAGTGGGTGAACAAATGGTTGAATGGATCAGCTCTGCATTCAATTAAGCAATCATTTGCTTGGACATTTGAACACACTGCTCCCTTCTGAGCGTCTTGCTCTTTCACAGGTCCCCCAGGACCCCCAGAGGCTGTGACCATAGATGAAATTACAGATACCACTGCTCAGCTCTCCTGGAGACCCGGGCCTGACAACCACAGCCCCATCACCATGTATGTCATTCAAGCCAGGACTCCGTTCTCCGTAGGCTGGCAAGCAGTCAATACAGGTACCATATTGGATGCCTGGTGCTGGTCTTTCACAGGGGCTTCTGAAACTCAGCATAATGGACAAAGCACTGTGGCAGAAACCAAGGGCCACCTAGGTTCTCATTCAGACACAACTACAAATGTTTCCTAGACCTCATCTAATGGTACTATCATTCATTTAATGTTTTTTTTTTTATATCAGCTCTTTGTTTGTTTTTTAACTTATCCTAAGCAACAATGTCTATCACATGATAGATCTGTATGTTGGTTATATTTTTTCTTAACATACATAATAAAATACATTAGTTGTAAAAATAAAATGCATCAATCTGCTTATTACCTAAAATTATCTGTGTACTATTAATGATATACTTTGAAAAGCAGTGGATTATGCTAGTCTACATAGCCTTTGTAAAAGTTTATATAGTGTTCTCAAAAAAAACAATAACTAAAGACTGCCTGGAGCCCCTTGACTTGCTGCCCATTTTTATTTAGATAGCTAAATTTGGGCATAAAGAGGTATGAGATTTTGTTATATTAAAAAGTATGTCTGTGATGCCCTTAGATGTTGGGGGCTACACACGTACTACACTGCCTGGCTTAGCATGTGCCTACCCTACACCGGCAGGTACAGGTAACCTGTTGAACCCCACTCATGACGGGGATCAGGGATTGCAATTATTCCCCATGAACAAGGAATTCCCAATAAGCGCAGGTCATAAACTTGTGTTGATTAAGCCCCTGCCCTTTGTACACATCGCCTGTCACTACTACAGATTGGATGGTTCAGCGAGGCCCTCAGATCTGCCCCACCAGGTAGGCCCATGGCCCTGGTGGAGCAGAGCCCTGAGAAGATTGTCAAACTTGAAAAATAAAGGAATGTGAGTTGACCATACCTTCCCTGCCCCCCCCCCCCATTGACTCTTTTTGTTATTTTATCTAGGTTTCATTTGAGGAAAAATGGACAAACAAGTAGTTTTTGCAAGCAAGATACACACTCTTCTAGTTCCTAAGAGTTGGCCGTGTGACCTTAATGTCTTGAGGTAGAAATACATGGAGTGATAGGCCTGGTTTTCTGCAATTCAGATGAATCCTACTGATTTTCACAACCTCTTTTTTTTTTTTTTACTTCAGCTTATCCAACCTCAGAAATGGGTTTGTGTGTTTCCAGCTCATTGATTTTCTTCTGAATGTCAAAAGTGCTTAGGAAGGAAAGATACGCAAAAATCTTAAAGTTAGGGGATCATTCTAGCCCTGACTCTGCTAATCAGCACATCTCTATACAACTATGCATCTTCCTCTTCTGTTAAATGGGCATGATAAGATTTGGTTATGACCCAAAAGAGAAATGATTGTGAAACTTTTTTAAAAATAGGAAGTACTACAGAAATATAATGAAAGAAAAGAGGAGGATGAAGCTGCCGCTGCTGATGATAGTGATGGTAAAAAAAGAAACAAACAAAAAAAAACACTAGAATTTGTTGAACCCTTGCTATGTGCTACATGATATGCTCTGCTAAGTGCTTTTCTTGGATTTTCTCAACAGCATTGTGAATAGATATTGTTATTAGCCTCATCGTATGATAGGGAAACCAAAGCATGGAAAGGTTAAGCGACTTGCCCAAGGTCATTGGGCTACTAAGTGTCGATTCAGGTTTAGAATCCAGATGATCTGACTCCAGAGCCCCACTTTTTACCTTTGTAGGCTAGGACTGTGTAATTGTGGTATAAGGAGGCTGGCAGCCACCGAATCCTAGTGACCAGTGTGATGGCCTCAGCTTTGCCACAGGGAACCTCCCTTTGAATCTTCTGGGCCACATGGGAAATCTTTATTTATTTTTTTTTGTTTTGTTTTATTTTTTTAAGTAAATTCTGTACCCATCGTGGGGCTTGAACTCATGACCCTGGAGATCAAGAGTCGCATGCTCTAGTGATTGGGCCAGCCAGGTACCCCTCATGTGGGACATCTTTATGATAACCAGTTTAAAATTCAAAAAGTTGTTCAGTGAGCATGGAGGCAATGTCCAGAGCTTCATGGCTTATGGTGTCAAAACAGTGGGCCATGTCCTCTTGGGAGGGAGCCCTTCTCCAAATACTAGTAGGTGAATATTGTCAAATTCTCCCTCTCTGACTTCTTTTTTGTGTGCTTTGTGGCCATTCCTTTTGTGGTTACAGATTCTTTCATGAGATAGGTTAGTACAGCTCACTGTCAGCAATATTACGGAATTGTAATATTGTAGATTCATTATTATGTTAAGTTATAGAGCTTGGAACACACGGACAAAGGAGCATATCCAGCGCAATCTTGAATGAGTAACAATCTTTATAAGGCGCATTTTCCTCATCTGTATAAATAAACACAGCAATTTTAGTTTACTCATAGAATGATTGTAGAAATTGAACAGTGTGCCCAATACTATACGGTAAATACTGAAAAACGTGTCAGGTAACAACAGTCATGATTACAGTCAAGCACTTTTGGGCCTTGAATACTGTAATGTCATCTGCTGGTGTCTCATTTGAACTTGTTAGTTTAGTATAGAGAGTTCTGGGATGACTTGCTTGTAACAGCTGCTGTACAACTAGTCTCAGACCACCTACAATGCCCTGCACACAGTAACAGTAATCATGACGGATGGAAGTTCCTATCTGCTTAACATGGAATCCTGTAAAGTATCTCCACCTTTTGATGTCTTTCAGTGCCAGAACTTATTGATGGGAAGACATTCACAGCGGCTGTTGTGGGTTTGAACCCTTGGGTCGAGTATGAATTCCGCACTGTTGCGGCCAATGTGATTGGGATCGGGGAACCCAGCCGGCCCTCGGAGAAGCGGAGGACAGAAGAGGCTCGTGAGTAGTATCCAGGACACGGAGAGTCTGTGCCAGTGGCTATTATTCCTTAGGAAAAGGCTTTGAATTCTTCTTGCTCTTCAGCCCTAATGAGGCTCTGTATTAGCACCCCCTTCCCTTGAATGTTCGTAATGATCAGAAACCAGACCGGCAGATGCTCAGTTTATTGAGTTCAAGAGTTAAGTTGTCACTCATTCCTGGGTCTCCTTGTACAGGGAGAGACACTCTGTGCTTAGTTCTTCCAAACACCACCTCTTCCTTCAATGGTTCGTTTGTCACCAAGATTCTTCAACCAGGATTTACTTTTTTAAGGCACACCCCACATTTCAAATGAATTCAACACACAGAAATCACTCGTCGCAAGGAATAAGTTCTTCAGAAATATTTAGTAAGATTTTTTTCTTAGAGTATAAGCCATTCCTAGAAGCTAAGATTCAGAACATTCTGCTCACTCATACGAGGCCAGTATGTATGTGTAGTATGACCCTCTGTAAGCACAGCTTAGAATGAGCACAGGGAGGGAATAACATGAATTCATCTGCATTGGTTGTACATTTCCTTCTCTCATGTAATGTGGGAGGCCTAGGTGTGGGTCTTTGTAGAGTCCCCAGCTGTGATAACGCCAAATGTTTGTTGAAAGAATAATAGCAAGGTCCTTGAGCAGATGGGAAGTCTGACCCTACTCTTGCACAAAACTCCATCTAGACCTATTTCATTGGCTTTAACCAAGGGAACACACCCAGACACCAATGGGGTGTTTTGTTTCCCTGATGATAATGTAGCTAATCCCCATGCTTTCTTCCCCCCCACCCCTCCAAAACTGTAATTTAATTAATTCCTCTCAGCAATCCTGGGGAGGAAGCTAGCCTAATTTCCCCTCTTTTACAGAGAAAACTGGGGATCAAAGAGGTTAAGCACAGTGAGCCAGGGGTCAACCTATGTCCACCACTTCCTTCAGCACCCAGCTCAAAACTCACCTTCCTCCGAGAAGCCATTAGCCCATCCCTACTCTGAGCAGCCTGCTACTTCAGAACGCCACTGCACTTCTCCATTCTCTCTGCACCGTGTTGTTCTTTATTGTCACCATTCCTCTGTATGTTCTGCATGTGCGCTCTACCTCAACTAGATTGTAAGCTCTGCACGGGCAGAGTGTGTATTGTCTGTCTTTTGTGTATCACCACATGGTTAATAAATGCCTATCCAAGCACTAGAACCAGAACCTCTGTCCTTTCCTCCTACCACTGAAGCTTGGCCTCTAGGGACGGAGCTGAACAATTGGTCAGACATGTCACATAACATGCATATCTTGTTGAATGGGAAACAGGTAACTAATGGCAATTTCCATGGTACGTTTCACTTCTTTAAGCTGATGCTTTGGGCCACTTGACCACACTGTTTCTGATCTCAAAAGACAAAGATATATGTTTATCAGAGTATTTTCTTAAAGTGAGTCACTTCTGTCAGGCAACCTTCTTTCCTCTCATTTGCTTTTAACACCAGATATGACTTGTTTTTTTGTCTCCTGCACAGTCCCCGAAGTCACCCCAGCTAACGTCAGTGGTGGCGGAGGCAGCAAATCTGAACTGGTTATAACCTGGGAGGTAAATGAATCATGGAACAAAAGGAGTATACATTAGCCTAGGCTATTTTTTTTTCTCTATGTTAAACAAATAGAAGAAATTTTCTCTTCTCTTGTTAAGAGCTGAAATTTACTTGAGTGCAAACACCCCCTCTCACATAGCTAATTGCCAGCAAGAAAAGGTGGCACTTGCCCATCAATTGTTGAGTTAAGTTTTAATTTGATTTAACACAGAAAAAACAATCATGAAATGGAAGACCACACAAGAAAAAAAAAATACACACACACACACACACACACACACACACACACATATATATAGAAAGCTGGTTCAAAGAAAACCAGTTTTCCTTTCTTCCTGAACTGATGCATGGCCAATTGATATAAAATGTCTGCCAGCAATAGATTCAGTGTACCAGCACAATTTCCTGGCATTTGGCTTTGCTTCTGGAGTCCTCTTTTATAAGGTGGTTTTTAAACAACTTGGAGGTAGGTTAGTCACCAATTTATTAAAAATTGATTTTGAGAAATGAGATTGGAGTTTTAGAAAGGTTCTTAATGTTTTTGGAAGATTCTAGACATTACCCCCAAAGTTAAAGATCTTGCATTTAACCAAAGCCCCAGCAGCGAAAGAAATCACCCCCTCCAGCCTCACTCCTCATTTCTGAGGGGGAATAGCTTTTTTGAGCCAAGACGGTCTTCTTCAACGAAGTCTTTTGCCTGTTTGGCCCTGGAGGAAGATTCTTATTGGATGGTATATGTTGGAATGTCGGTTTCTAGATCAACTGTCCAGTGACTTTCATTTGCAAGAACTTCAGAGCTGGGTCTCCCCCATCAAGAAGCCAGGCTCTCCACTGCAAATTCTCACTGGGTTTTTTGTTTATTTGTTTGTTTGTCTGTTTAACCTACTTCGATACCTCATCCATACTGATGGCAAGCCCCAAGCCTAATACTCTTGACAAAACCCAAAGTAAGATAGGTGGGGAAGAATGTATGTATAAGATTGTGGGAGGTAGGGTAAAAGAAAACAATTGTAGCATTTGAATCGAACTGCTGTGATTTCTGAAGGCTGCCTCCCTTCTTTCCCAGACGGTCCCTGAGGAATTACAGAATGGTAGAGGCTTTGGCTATGTGGTGGCCTTCCGGCCCTATGGCAAAATGATCTGGATGCTGACAGTGCTGGCATCAGCCGATGCCTCCAGATACGTGTTCAGGAATGAGAGTGTGCGCCCCTTCTCTCCCTTTGAGGTTAAAGTGGGCGTCTTCAACAATAAGGGAGAAGGCCCCTTCAGTCCCACCACAGTGGTATATTCTGCAGAAGAAGGTATGGCTTATGCTGCCTATATATTTGTTATTTGTTCAGTTCTGAGATGCTGCTGATTTTAGGACTGAAGTGTTGACAGGCTCTCCTGAATCTTAGTCAAGTCATTTGGCTTCCCTTTGTTCTTTTGCTCTTATTTTCATAATCCAGTGACTAGGACTCTCACCTATGAGAAATGCTGATTAAGAAGGATGTGTATTATGGGTCGCCTGGGTGGTTCAGTTGGTTAAGCATCTTACTCTTGATTTTGACTCAGGTCATGATTTCATGGTTCATGAGTTTGAGCCCTGCATCGGGCTCCATGCTGACAGTGTGGAGTCTGCTTGGGATTCTCTGTCTCCCTCTCTCTCTGCCTCTCCACTGTTCGTTCTCTCTCTCTCTCTCAAAATAAATAACATTTTAAAAAAGAGATGTTTAAAGAAGGGTGTGTATTAAAGGATTTGCTAGCTATGAAAACTTGGTGTTGAAC